TTGGTATAAATATGAATTTATCATTTTGTTTAATTCTTAATTTATATTTAACAAAAAAAAAATATTTTTTGCTATAAATACGAAAAATTCTATATTTTTATAATTTTATTTATACGATCATACGGGCCAAACCGGAACAAATCGTGACCAGTGACCCGCATGAGCTCGATTCAGATGGGTCATAGGGCGGGCCTGAATTGTAGTCCAAAATTTGTAGGCCAACTTGGAACCGGACCGGAACCTGTAGCGGGCGGGCTTTTTTTTTTTTCACATGGGTCGTTACCGGGCTTGACCCGACCCGGACCACTCGGATTGATACCTCTAGGGACAGTGGAACACATTTTGTCAATTTGAATCAAAGGCTGTGCTCAAAATTGTACAGCACCGCAGTATATAGAGCTTTCTACAAAAAGAACCTGCTTATAGGAAAAATGGAAAGTCATGCCTAAATATCTTAATATCTATGTTTGATGTTTTGTTAGAAGATGAATATACCGTGTTCACTTCCATCCATGTATACACGTGCCTATGTTTATGTAATTTATCTTTTACATATAGTTTATTATTAAAACTTGGAAACACGCTGATATTCATCCGTTCTTAAAACTCTGCTGAAAAACAAATCTTGATCAAACATATAAAAATTGCTCGAATACTTCAACCTGCACTTATGCCCCTGTTTGACAGCCTTTTTTTTGGAAGAACGAGTTTTTGAATAGTAAATTTTTGGATGTGTGGTTAAAAAGCAGAAAAAAATTTTGGGTTTATATGAAGAATATTTTATCGTGAGAATGTGTGGTTGAAAATGAGTACGAGAAAAAAAGAGTTTTGAAAGAATGGTCGTCAAACAAGGGCTATAAATGTGGTGATGGCATGATGGAAGAGATTTGCATACTTGAGATGCCAGATAGTAATGACACTTTCCTCTGCAAATGCATCATAAATAGTCGTGCGACGTACAATTGAAGTCTTCAAAAACTTTGTGCAACTGGTGAGGGGTTTTAGCATCCCTTGATGGTAGGAATGTTGATCGTTTAGGATTTACCTTATCTGAACTGGTCAATCACATTTGATATAAAGAATTTCCGGATCTTATCTAATGAAATCCCCTTTCCTTTAGATGTCTATGAGAGGCTCATTCAGAAGGGTAAGAAACCAGGGTTCTTCCAGTTGCTAGCTACCCAAACCGTCAGTGCAGCTTGGCATGTAAGTATAAATTCTATCCTTCTATCCTAATTGTTAAAAAATGCTGCACTTTGACAAGGATTTTAATGTGTCGTGTTTCTTCTATGTATTGTTTTTGTTATTTTCTAGTTGGCACTATAATTATTCTGGAAATCATTCGGCAAATAAATTATGTTCGTCTATTTTTTGGCAGTTTGCAAATTGAAAATGCTAAAAAACTTGGTGTAGTATTAAAACTTAAGAAATGTTAGCATCCATTGTTTTGCCATTTGAAAATCTCTCGTGCAGAGGCTTCTGAATTATGTATATATGACCCATCCATTGTTTATTCATGATATCAGTCCTTCCATTTGCAGTCTTTCTATTTCAGCGTCCAAAACTTCTTGATTATTTCACATTATGCTTGTAACAGAAATGATCTAACGAGCACTCATGCTCATCTTATGTTAAGCATAGGTGACATGTTATATAAATCCATTAGTAGATTTTAAATTTAATTCAAATGTTTAGGCCACCATAAGTTTATCCATTAATGAATTTATATGATATGTCACTGATGCTTAATATAAGATTGAGCTCTGATGCTCAATAGATCATTCGTGTGCTTGTAATCTCTCTCTTTGTTATCTCCATTTTGGATCAATCGTCGAAGTTTGAAGAAGGAAATATATTATATTATTTCTATTTCCATTAGATGATCCTAGTTCAATCCTTTAAGCGCTCTCTATGTTACTCATGTCCTTTTCTAGTTATATGATTGCATCTGACTTTTAAATAGCACTTTCCCTTTACTTGCCAATTCTACAGCTAATCCAATCAAAATTAGCAGTCTAATCACTGAATTAAATTATTTCATAACATTGCAGGGTTTGTATCCTGGCTACATCATATTCTTCGTTAAATCTGCTGTAATGATTGCTGGTTCGAGAGGTAACATTTATGGATATGTTTAAATGAGATGGTTAATTTTAAATGCCTTCTGATTTTCTTTGGTCTATGAACAGTTTTTTACGGATGGCAACAAGCCACCCAGTCAGTTCTATTTAAGAAGATATTCGTATTCTTGAACTTTGCTTACACGCTTTTGGTTCTTAACTACTCCTGCGTTGGTTTCATAGTTAGAACTTTTATTAACTTAAAACGTTTATTCTTGTTTGCATTGGACACTCGTCACCATTGTTAAGATGAAAATTCTTAATACTTTTTCAGCGCACAGGTATTAAGCCTGCACGAAACCTTAGCTGCATATGGGAGTGTATGCTATGTTGGAACCGTTATTTCAATAGCATTGATCCTGCTCGGAAAAAATCATTAAGCCAGCAAGGCCCCCCAGATCTAAAGCTTGGAAAGATCAGTAAGGTAGAAATTGCGTCTTTGATATCTGTTTTTGAGAGTGTTGACATCCGCAAAATATTAGGGAGCTGATTTCTGCTACGTCTCTTTGTTTTTTTGTAGCTTGTAACATCAAACTCTGTCACAAAATTGTTATTGCCCTTCCATCTTTGAATGCAATATGGACGACTTTGTCCATTTTTACTGAGTCGAAAAGCTTGACAAATGACGATCACTACTGTAAACGTATGATTATCAGGATGCATACCGTGTCAAGAATAGGGATATCATGTGTTGATTATGTTAAAAAGCAGAATTGTACTGTTTAACCTTAAGAGATTAAGAATGACTGTATTCCTCTTCCTCAAGTTCTGTGTTCTTCAACTAATGAACATGAACATGCATAGGCGCTTGCACACAACAATTACAGTGCTAATGGTATTGTCCAGTTGAGCCTACCAATCGTGTAAGAGGAAATTACACCCAACCCTGATTTTAGATTTCCATTCTCACAAATCAAGAATCAAGTTGCATAATACAAAAATCAGGTTTTAATTAATAATTTAATTTTTTTTATTTTTATTTTTATATCTATATACAATATCAATTAATTAACATACCATCCCTACTATATCTCCCTAATATCAAACCCTAAAATCAAACCCATTTCCTCTCCACTCTCTCTGCTCAAACGCCGCCGCCGCCACGATTCTTCCCATCGTCGGAGAAATAATTGATGTTGCTTCCACCTTCTCTATTCCCACAATCGTCACTCTACCTATTCTCCTTTTCTCCTCTCCGTCTTTCCACCCAAACCGTAGCACTCATCATCGCTTGTGATTGTTCTGTAGCATCGCCGTTGTTCGGTAGCATTGTAGATCCAGTGGTCTCGGTGAGGTTGGTGGTGAGTGGTCTTGTTGTAGATCCAGTGGTCTCAGTGGTCTATAGCATCGCGTTGCAGATCCAGTGGTCTCGCCGCCTCAAACCTCATCCGCCATCGTCCGCCTCTACACTGTTAAACCAGGTAGACTAAGAAGCCCTAAAATCAATTGTCCCAGTCCCTCTTCGACGATGCTTCGTTCCTGCCCATCCAATTTCTCCATCATCATCTCCAATTTCTCCCTCATGCAGTCAATTCTCACTTCCAATGACGCTACCCGATCGGTGAGATTCAATTTCCCAGTGTCAATTAGATAATGTTAGTGATTTTTGTGGTTGGCTATGGCGGATCTGGTGGCGGGTTTGTTGTTGTTTAGTGTTTTGAGATCGTCGTTTTTGTTGTTGTTGGAGTGGTAGTGGCGGCTGTGGTTCCCTGTTTTGGTGTTGGTGGGGTGGTGAGTTGGAGCTCAGAAACGGTCGTGTTGGTGTTGGTGGCAACGTCATCGCTGCCGTCGCAGTGATGGTGAAGTAGTGGTGGTTTTTTTTGTGGTGGATGTGGCTTTTGGGGGTGGTGATAGTGGTGGTGGGAGGGTGTAGGGTTTGATTTGTTTGAGATGTTGATGTTGCTATTGGGCAGCGACGGTGGTCGTGCCGCTGGTGGAGGTAGTGGCGAAGTGGTGGTCACAAATGATTAGGTTGTTTGTCACCAATAATTTAGTTTATTTGTGACGAATAAATAATATGTGACCAATGCATTAGATAAACTGTGACCAATACATGCTCAGTGACCTAAAAATTATTAATTTGTGACCAATAATTTAATAAATTGTGGCCTAAATATAATTTATGTTCAATTAATGTACTGTTTGTGACCATAAAATAAGCCGTAAGACTTATGAATTTTGTGATTTGTGACCGATGAACAAAATGAACAAATTGTGAGCTATGAAAATTTTGAATTGTGACTTAATTTTTTTTTGAATTGTGACCAAATTGCATAGATCTGTGACCTTAATATATTCATCAGAGTTGGAACACTTGTCGGAATTGGAGCAGGAGCCGAAATAAAGTGGCGGTAGAACGGTCGTCGAAATAGTCTCCGGAATCGAAGCGTCGTCGAAACAGTCGCTGGAGAAAATTTGTGATCGAAACGGTAGTCGGAATAGTCCCCGAAGTTATAGGAGTGGTGGAGGAGGGTGGGGTAATTATGTTATATTATAATTAAATATGTAATAATAAATTGATTTAATAATTTATTATTTCATAAATTAAAATTTAAAAAAACTGATTTTTGAAAGTTGAAACTTGTTTTTGTATTTTTGAAATGGCATAAAGTAAAAAGCTGAGATATGTATTGTTCCCATCGTGTAATCAGTTATCTGATGTGGAATCACAAGGAGATAAAATGAGAGAAAAAAGAAGAGAGTGAAAGAGTTGAGAACAATTTGGATAAGAATCTAGAGAAGATTCAATATTAATGAAATATCAATAATCAATTATTGAATAATTGTAAGATTTATTTTTTTATATGCATTAAATTCCTAGTAAAAAATGACAACAGAAAATTTTATAACTAACACTAAGGGTCCGTTTGATTGGAAGGGTGGAAAATTGGTGGAAAGAAAATGTTTTACAGGGAATTGTAATTAATTGTGTTTGATTGGTATAATTTTTCACATGAAAATTGTTGAAAGTTTGGTGTTCGTTTGGCTTTGTTTTTCATGGAAGTTGTCTATTAAACTAATAATTTTTTTACCATTAGGTCTAGAATTTGTTCCAATTACCAAAAAAATTTTAAAAAATTATCATACCGAATATCATTCGTTTG